ATTACCACCAATGGCCCACACGATAAGCACACAATATTAGACCTGGAAAAACGTAAAAATAGTTCCATGAAACAAAACTTCATTTTTCTCTTGTAACTATGCAATAATTGTATAATATCATCGAAAACAGATAGGACTAAGCCTTTTTTAATATCATCTACATTACTTATGACAGTGAAGTTATGTGTCTGTTTTATCATAAGTGTGTACATGATACGAAGGTTACACCACGGCATAACCTGATTTTGTAAGTGACAGACATCTCCATGAACATAAACATCACTGCTGTGAGTATCATCTTATAGACATGTATACTAGATGAGATAAAAACTACACACATCTGTCTTGAAAATAAGTCTAAACACCCACCCACTCCGATTTCAGAAATATTGATTTCCAGTAAAATCCATAAAAAATTTCAAGCCTGCTCAAAATTGCTAGTCCTAAACTGGGGGACAAGTTGTTATGTCCAACATTAGATGTACACACAAAGGGATGTGCGTCAGAGCTTATTAGTACCATAGAGTAGTACGATCGCTATGAGATTATTTACGCTCTGGGTGGCAATTATGTATGAATGTCAGTATTGTATTACACATGTCACATAAGGTCCCAGGAGTCAGAAACACGTATAAGTGGTACATGCAGTACATGATAACGTAGCTCAGCATTCGCTATACATTACAATCGTCGCCTGAATCATAAATCTATTATTGTAATAAGCAGAGGGGCACATTTTGCATGACACATAATAGTGATGACATCACCGCATGATATGCAACCGATTGCCTCAACTACTTCGAGAAACTACAAAATATAGACGCATACTAGGAGCAGGGTTAGATAGCATCAAGAAGGAAGTGGACCACTTTTAATATGATGACATAAATGTGTAATCGCATCACGCTATCCGCGCTCATTATTCGCACGTGGCACGATAGGCTACTGTGCATCGATCTACGTCTCGAAATGACCATCATGCCACATGCTCATTACCTTGCAAATCGCTCCTTGTCTGTCTCTCGCAACGAATCGTCCTCCATGATGGCTTCTATCGCATGCGTTAATGCAGAGCAGCTGCTCACCAATAGGTCTTTCTTACGGCGTCACGCCGGTTTCTAGTACTCAGTAGCTAGCTGCGTTGTTCCCACCTCGTGAACGTTCGCATACAATTCTAACGAGATAAAAATAAAGAAAAATCAATGAAAGTAAAAAAGAAAAAGCCGATATTCAAGATCATGCGTGCATCTGTTCGGATAATATCGCCATGACAGCAAGGCGCATCACAGAGTAACGAGGCTGTTCATGTTATTGTACACCACCTCATAATCACGCATCCTTGTCAGGAATCGTACTTAGATGACAGAGGAAACGTGCAATGTGGGGAAGCAGCTACAGACACACACGAGCGATGTCTTACTACAGCTGCCGTGACCATCATGCATGCACACATGATGCAGGGGGCAATAGCACACACTCACACAGCATGAGTACACATGAGTACGAAATGCATGCACATAGTGTGACGTGATCTTTCACATTCTGGCATTTTATTACATCATAACACTGTTTTACAATTTTCATTGTTACCTCGGTGCACCACACTTAACACAAAATTACAGTTAATGTATTATTTAGGTATGTCCAGTAAGTAGTGCTCCTATGAAAGGATAAAATTAATGCGAGTCCCAAGTCAAATACATCATATTTTGCTGTCCAACTCTCTGATCTGACATCAGCGAGAGTCCACGCATCTCTCTATAAATGATACTATATATATATTTAACCAGAAATACAAAAACATTAATATCAACACAAAAACCAATAATTTTTCAAGTCATACTCTGCAGATCTATAACAGAATTATTTAGGTCACTTTGGCAGCTACTTCCCCTTGCGTCACGCATTAATTGCATCAGTTTTGAATCTCAGCTTGACTCTGTTATTTTGCTACGGACCGAATTCTCTCTGGAAACGAGACTTCCTGACAATCATGACTTTCAGTCCGCTCATATATACAAATTACTCTGTAAACATAGATGGCACCCACTGCGATCATGTCAGCATGCGCGCGTGTCACGGTTCCTTGTTGTCTGCCAGGCTCGTTCATCCTCCTCCGCCACGCAGTCAGGCATTTGCACTATACAGCAGGTCCGCATTCACGAGTCGCACAGTCTTACATTCACGCATCGCTTGGCGCACCACTGCACTACACTTGCCGAGCGTCAGCTAGCTAGCCTACCCACGCTGCTCGCGCGTGACCCGACTTCACAATGCATCTTATGCGCTGATGAGCGTAAAAGGTCAGCGGCATTCACGTCAAGCTAGCAGCTTTCGTCCGCATTTAAATTCCGCGCAGATTCGCGCGCGCGCACGCAACGCGCCACGATTTCATTACATTGCTAGCGCCGTGACGTGAGCACGGGAAAATTGACGTGGTCGCTATTGCAAAGACGCAGCATTGTAGAAGCAAACATGCCGCACACTGTACGAACACACGTTCAACGGTTATGTGGAAAACCGTAATTAGTTTTGATTGTTATGCACAATCTAATGCACCGGGCGATTTTTTAATTAAACCGGATTACACATGGGAAAGACAAGAGAATGTTGTGCATACAAGAGCTCTGTAGAAAATGCAATTTTCAATTAATAGACTATATATATGCATTAACAGGTACACAAGGTGCACTAATTATTTATAGTTTCAGGAATTTTTAGATTTGATGCAATGGGTATTCGTTCAGCAGTAAAAGGGATTTTAATGCATTTTATGCACGGTTTAATCAAGTTCAAGCTAATAATACCATGAACAGATGTTGGTAACAAAAATAGCTAGAAGTAGGATGCAGTGCAAATATATATCAGACTCAATCTTAACAAGTGTCACTCTAAACCTACTCATCTAAATACAATTTCAATTTGTCCCGACTATATGCATGTATAACTAAATTACTGCAATTTAATTTTAACACTCTGAACTGGCAAGACATAAATATATTGCATAGATCTGATTGTCTCTCATAATTAATGTCTGAATAATATTATCAAAATGGTAATATGAACAGAATAAGTTCTCAATGCAGATATAACACAGATAGATTAGATAGTCAGGGGATATGATATATTACAGATTATGTGTGCCCCCCCCCCATGAGAAATCTAGTTACAAGTCCCAGGCGAGCTTACTACCGTTCAGATGGTGCCTTGACAAAAAATTTACACAAAGATTGCATAAAACACAATCTATTTGCAAGTATTTACCACTCCTAACAATTGGCAATGTTTGTTTCATCACCATTTAACTAAAAATATTACATATAAAATAACATTTTTTTCACATCAAATGAACTTGGGCAACTAATCTATGAACAAATAATCACATATGCTGGGACATAATGCCACAATCACTAAGTGTAGGTCACATGTCTACAAAAATCAGGGGCCCGTTGTCAGTAACAATTAGTCTTAACATTAAGTTTGACTTGTATACCGTTAACAAAAACATCGCAAAGTTACGAGAATGAAAAATCCTTGCAAATTTCCTCTTAACACGTTCAACGCTGCCGATGTTAACAATTCACCTACCGCCCTGCGCTGGGATTTTCGGGTTTTTGCCGCGTATTCACTTTTTGATTAACCACATTTCCTACAGAAAAGCTCACCAAACTGACACATTTACTCTGCATGAGTGTTATCTCACCCTTACACGTTCAAATAGTATGGAAATTGTTCCCCTTCATAATAATATATTGATATGAGAACAGAGAAAAAACGGACATTTCGTGCATTTTCGTCTCAAATGCCACCGCACCGGTGGATTTTCGCGAGTTTGTCATGATATCATTCGACAGTATACTATTTTTTCCGGTAAGAGATGTGACAACGCTTACACATGTGTGGGGTATGAACCTTGTTTTGTTTTTCTACATGCAAAAATACATTGAAATTTTATATACTACACAGTTACTATATTATATACCGTTAGGAAATCGGTAAACAAACCTTGTTTTGATCTATGCCTTCTAGTTTACCTTCTAGTTTTACGAATTTACCTTGAGTCTCAAAACTCATAACTTCACGTTCGAATCAACGGTAGAGCATTGTATTCTTTAGTTTATGAAAGACTGGGGTAATATAGACTGGCCCTGTTTAGGGCTGTCATTGGTATCAAATTATTTCGATTCGATTATTGATATTTTTTTTTTCGATATTTCGATCCGATTCGATCCGATTCGATTTAATAATTGTAATAAAACATGAGCCGTGAAAGTACAGTAAACTCATGTATTGTGTTCTACTATGATAACTATGCATTTTATACATCGCTGTGCTTAAATACAACATGGGCGAAGTATATATTTATCTGAATTCAACCAGATTGACCTGGCGTCGCGGCGATGGCGAAGCAGCAGACATGCTTTTACGAAAAAAAAAAACATTTTTTGAAAAAAAAAAAAAAAAAAAAAAAATCGGATCGCTATTTTTCGATTTATTTCGATATCGATATCGGACGCAAATCCATCGCGATTTATCGATGAGGTGGGCATCGATGACAGTCCTAGCCCTGTTTAATTTTTAGGTAGGTAGTGACTGCCATCTGTTGGAAACCATAGTAACAAAAACCAATAATCTATCCACGAGCCGACTCGTGGATCCGCGGGGATGCGTTTTGATTGTTCCCACGAGCTGACTCGTGGATCCGCGGGGAACATGTTTACATAACGAGATCGTAGACGCAAGTGATCGTAACATTAAGATTAAGATTAAGATGAAAATAATGCATTTACACAAAAGAATTGCAATTATAATGATAAATTATATTTCATATGAATTAGTAAAACACACACGTGTTTTTCACGGAAAACACGTGAGAGACATCAACTTATCTATCGATTGTGTATCAAAACAAACGTATAAAAGTGGAGATTGTTTTCTTGTTTTGGATATTTCGATGAGTCATGATGCTCGCCTCTCATGTTTCAGTGCAGAATAAATTCAAGAGAATGTACATAGTTTTTTAATCAGATATTATTTATATGTGGTTAACCATCAAAATATGCATATATATTATTGTGATATACAATAAATGCATATAAATTTGAGTTTTGGGATCAATTCTCATCCAATCAGCAGACCTGTGACAGCAAATTATCAAGTTCCTGTTATCATAAGTTTGTTCATAGCTGCGATGCGTTTCTGTCAATGCTATTCTCGTAACATTAACATTAGTCGTAAATGCTATCTTGGCATTAAAACATTAGCCGGCATTAACATTAGTACGATGTTTCTGACAACGGCCCCCATGTAGATTTCTTAATAGCCTCACTTGTCCAAAATAGTTCACACCATGTTATTAAAATTATAGCAACATACATCATACATATACATGAGAACATAAACACACATTTAGGAGATAGCAGACATCAGATCACGAATAAGCCACATGCTTGAATTTAGAATTTGCCCTGGACAAGCTTAGTCTCACACACAGATTCGATGTTTAGTCACCTCAGAATGCATGCTGCTAACAGCGCTATGGGTGAACACGGCTTGTCAATGATCGTGTGTAGAAATAGATATACACACATAAACAAGCAATTTTTCACTCAAGTAGCAAGCAATACTATTTGTTGCCAGCAATTATGTAGTATGAGAAAAAAATTAAAAGGGTGGTGGAATTGAACAGGTGATTAGTATCAAAACATCGTAACATGATTACATCATACTCATAGACTATCGAGAATACAGCACTTGTAATATTGTATGATATAGCAAAGACCGACCCTAAGCTATATTCTTAGTACATAGGGTCTTTGTATGTAGTAATAATTCATTTGTGTCTCGCCAGATCTTATGTGAAATGCATGCCTGAATGTTTAGCCTGTGAACTGTCCATTTAGTAGGCCTACCCACTTGATTTTGATGACGACAACATACGTCGCGATGGTGTAGGCACAGGCACTTGAAGCGTTTCAACTGTAAACACACGCCGCCACCATTGCGCACACACTGACACATAAATATATAGCAGGTGAGAAAGCGCGACTGCGCACCGGATGTTAACGAACTTTCGCCGCCTTTAACCATGGGCGAAAGTTCGTTAACATCCGTGCGCAGTGCTAGCGAACGCGAGAATTTTGTCAGTCTTTGTGTGATTTCGCGTGACACAGCTCGGTTACGAACAGAGACATTATGTTTTTATAACAAGTGAACACTGTTCTTGAAGGAGAAACAAAGATGGAAGCTGTTGGATGTGTATTTGTGTTGAAATCGTGAGAAATGCAGCGAGCATCGAGCGAATTTTTGGGATCGCGCTTTCTCACCTGCTATATATTTATGTGTCAGTGTGCGCGCAATGGCGGCGGCGTGTGTTTACAGTTGAAACGCTTCAAGTGCCTGTGCCTGTGGGTGTAGACTGTAGGGCCTACACTAGCTCTAGTACTATAGCCCGCGTACATTGACTGCCGCAGGGCTATATCACATTGTCGGCTGGAAATACCAACTACGACCTGACATTACCACCTGTCCCCATGAAAAATGGATCGCAAAACGCAAAGTTATCGGGCATTTTAACACTTATTTATCTACATGGACATCTCACCTATTTTTTTGAACACTTTACACAACTTTACACCATGTATTTATCCTTTTATTTCACAAAGTAAGCACTACTGGCATTTCATTTTGAAACGAAGTGGCGTGCGCACGCGTGACGTTACCGGATATGTACGCAATACACATGGCAGCTATGGGGCCTGTATATACAATACCGGTGACGTCACGCGTGCGCACGCCACTTCGTTTCAAAATGAAATGCCACTAGTGCTTACTTTGTGGAATAAAAAGACAAATACATGGTGTTAAGTTGTTGAAAGTGTTCAAAAAGATAGGTGAGATGTCCATGTAGATAAATAAGTGTTAAAAAGCCCGATAACTTTGCGTTTTGCGATCCATTTTTCATGGGGACAGGTGGTAACAGGTCGTAGTTGGTATTTCCAGCCGACAATGTGCTATAGCCCTGCGGCAGTCAATGTACGCGAGCTATAGTACTAAAGCTAGGCCTACACGTACACGCGTCTATTGCGGATCGGTATCAAACGATTCAAAGAAAGATTTTACAATTCTGCTAAATGATACCTATTTCATGTATATCCTATACTTTGGTATTACAAGTTAATGTAATTTACCAGCGACTTATCAGTACTAGTGGCAATTCTAATAGTGATATTTCCCTTTAGTTACTTTAGAGATACACCGAGAGAAGGCTATTCAGTATTCATGCTATTCTAACATAAGACAATGAGCGATCTAATATTTTACAGAGCTCTACCTTACAAATTTAGAAATTACGATCGATGATCATTAGTTTTATGAAAATTTGAATACGACACGTAATGAAATTACCTGGTGGTGTATGTATATAGTCCGTAAATAACCTAAGGTTACGGCAGATTTCACCGACATAACCAAAAACACCAAAACAACAGATTTTGCAAAATGGTTCCCATCTTGTCTGCGCTGCGCGGTAACGGCCAATCACAAGGCTACATACAATTCTCCGTTTCTAGTTTGTAACATTCAGCGTGATTAGGTGGGTAATTCCTGCTGGAAAGGACATCGTTATCGCTAAGACATCGTCATCGTTAGCGATGGGAAATAATCTAGGTGTTGGAGTCCTATATTATATACACACGCGTCGCAATATATCTATAATTAGAACTCTATTACATTAATATATGTTAAAATTAAAGGGCCTCAATATAAATAACAGTATATTATACGTACACACTCCTATCCATAGATGATTGGGGTTATAGGTTATGATTGGGGTTATGGGCATTTATTGTGGTTATGATGCGCAAACTGAAGAATTGTGGCTTTTAGATGTGTCACTGTGGCGTGGGTTAGAAATACGGTGTATATTTGTAAAGTTTCTGTTGCAAGTTTCGTACATGAAAAGTAAATATAAGTACTAACGGAACTAACTGTTTCCTCAAATTCCTACATGATAAGATTGTTTCTCAACGTGTTAAAAATCCAAAAAACTTGGGCAATTTGATATATTTATCGCGACATTAAATACTTGCTATGGGCTATGTATGAGTCACGAGTGTTTGTTCACATCGAACGGAATAGCAAAATTTAGGAAGTATAATGCAGCAATTTAACCATAAAAAGTAAACAGAATCATTTATATTTTGTGAAAAAGTTGACATAATTTTTACTGCTTACGCGGTGACGTAATCACTTTAATTAGGGTTATAGCGCTAGGGTCAATGCCTTGTACGTGGGAGACCCTGCAAGTGCGGGTGTGCGCGGATGCATGTGTGTGCCAGTGCTACGCAAGCACGCGGGTGTTTGTAATACAAATTGTATCAGGGGTTATAATAATGACAAAATTTCATTATTAATGTATTATATTATTTTCATTGTAATAATTGTAATTCATTTGAAATTCATTGTAATTGTTGTTCATTGAAATTTTGTAATTCATTGTAATTGTATTTCATTGTAATAATTAATTTCATTATTTTTATTCTCAGTAACCCCTGGCTGTATCAGGTGTCTATCAATATTGATAGATTCCTGATTGTATGTGTGTGCTTGTACATGGATATGTGCGTGTGCGTGTTTGCGTGTGCGGGTGTACCTGCGCGCGCGTGTATGGCAGGCGAGGTGGGACATAAATGGTATTTAGTGACAGTCACATATTCGAATTAATGTCTATCATATATTCTATTTAGTGATAGTCATTAAATCAACCAATCAGATACAACTTATTTTTTCTCAGCCAATCATAGGCATGGAATTATTGACAAACACTAAATGATTTAATGATAGACACTAAATCATTTAGTGTCTGTCATTAAATCCCCGTTGCTACCAATCAGAGCCAACGTTACAAAGATCCGCTGGGCGGCGCCAGCTACTTCCGTACAAAAATCCCCACCACCGTACTGTATCGCAAAACGATCTCACGTGCAGAAGTGTGAATTAAGCATGGTGAGGTGGTGGAGAAGGAGGAGGGGAGAAGCTGGTGGAGAAGCAGGAAGGGGAGAAGCTGGTGAAGAATGAGGAAGGGGAGAAGGGAGAAGGTGGCACCTCATTCTCCACCAGCTTCTCCCCCTCCTCCTTCTCCACCAGCTTCTCCCCTCCTCCTTCTCAAGGGGAGAAGGGAGAAGCTGGTGGAGAAGGAGGAGGGGGAGAAGCTGGTGGAGAATGAAGAAGGGAAGAAGGGAGAAGCTGGTGGAGAAGGAGGAGGGAGAGAAGCTGGTGGAGAAGGAGAAAGGGGAGAAGGGAGAAGGTGGTGGAGAAGGAGGAGGGGAGAAGCTGGTGGAGAAGGAGGAGGGGGAGAAGGGAGAAGGTGGTGGAGGAGGAAGAGAAGCTGGTGGAGAAGAAGGAGGGGAGAAGCTGGTGGAGAAGGAGGAGGGGAGAAGGGAGAAGGTGGTGGAGGAGGAAGAGAAGCTGGTGGAGAAGAAGGAGGGGAGAAGCTGGTGGAGAAGGAGGGAGGGGAGAAGGAGGGGGAGAAGGGAGTTGGTGGAGGAGGAGGGGGAGAAGGGAGAAGGGGATAAGGAGGAGGAGAAGGGAGCTGGTGGAGGAGGAGGGGGAGAAGGGAGAAGGTTGTGGGGGAGGGGAAGAAGCTGGTGGAGAAGGAGGAAGGGGAGAAGAGAGAAGGTGGTGGAGAAGGAGAATGGGAGAAGCTGGTGGAGAAGGATGAGGGGGAGAAGCTGGTGGAGTAGGAAGAAGGGGAGAAGGAGGCGGAGAAGGAAGCTGGTGGAGGAGGAGGGGGAAAAGGGAAAAGCTGGTGGAGAAGGAGGAGGGGGAGAAGCTGGTGGAGAAGGAGGAAGGGGAGAAGAGAGAAGGTGGTGGAGAAGGAGAATGGGAGAAGCTGGTGGAGAAGGAGGAGGGGGAGAAGCTGGTGGAGAAGGAGGAGATCGGGAGAAGAGAGAAGGTGGTGGAGAAGGAGAATGGGAGAAGCTGGTGGAGAAAGAGGAGG